ATGATCTGAGACGGCTAGGTACATGTATAACACCTCTTTAGGCAGTGGACTAACAAGCCTTAGCAAAGAGTGCAAGTGTTCCTTCAGTTGTTGGAAGGCCGCCTCAACATCATCCCCTCATTCAAATCTGGTCTTCTTCCTGATTGCTTGGAAGAAGTAAAGGCATTTGTCACCTGACCGGCTGAGGAATCTCCCCAAGGCCGCCAGGAAACCGGTTAGTCTATGTGCTCCCTTGATAGTGCGGGGTGACTTCATGTCAATTATCGCCTGTATCTTCTCGGGGTTAGCCTCTATCCCCCTTTGATCAATCAGGAATCCGAGAAACTTCCTAGACTCAACACCAAAGACGCATTTCTTAGGATTTAACATAACCTTATGCCGCCTGAGTGTGGTGAAGGTTTCTCGGAGATCAGCAAGGTGATCCGCCTGCTGCTTGGATTTGACTATCATGTCATCAATGTACCCCTCCACATTCCTCCCAATTTGATTAATGAAGACCGTATTAATCATCCGTTGGAATGTAGCCGGCGCATTTTTCAAGCCAAACGACATCACAGTATAACAGAATAACCCCTGATCAGTGACGAAGGCCGTCTTCTCTTGATCTTTCTTCCACAGGGGTATCTGATGGAAGCCGGAGTAGGCATCCATAAAACTCATCAAGGCATGCCCGGCTGTCGAATCGACCAGACTGTCGATCTTAGGAAGCGGATAACTGCCTTTGGGACATGCCTTGTTGAGATCTGTGTAATCAACACACATACGCCACGTACCATTCGACTTCTTTACAAGCACAACATTCGCCACCCAGTCGGGGAAATTACATGTCCGAATGAACCCAGCGTCTAACAGCTTTTTAACTTCGGCAGCTGTCGCCTGACTTCTTTCCTTGCCGTGATTTCTTTTCTTTTGCCGGATGGGCTTTTTTTTTAGGATCCACGGCGAGTTTGTGGACAGCAAGATCCGGGCTGACGCCTGGCATCTCTTCCACTTCAAAGGCAAAAATGTCTTTGAATTCTTTTAGCAGAAGGTGCGAGTCTGCACCTAACTTAGCATAAGCAATTGTCCCAACCTTTACAATACGCTCCGGACGGCTGTCGTCCAGAGGTATATCAACATGGTCTCCAGCCGGCTGGGGACGGAGCTCATCTGACCGTTCACCGGTCAGTGATTGCTATTTTTTCTCTTTTTTCACCTCCACCAGCAGAGGTGCCTTTCTTTTCTTTCCGGCTGTTGGTGGGGCTGGGTCGGCATCCTTGACATTGTCAAGGTCTATTGGTTCCTGGCCGGCTGGGGCCACAGTATCTTTGACGGCTGAGAGATAGCACTCCCGGACCGTCTTCTGATCCCCATTCAAGGAACCAACAGAGTCTTCATCCCTCTCATAGTTGATGAGCATGAGGGAAGGGATGATTACAGCCTTGGCTTCGTTGAGGGTTGGCCGGCCCAAAATAATGTTGTAGGCGGTCAGCTCCTCAACGACCAAGAATTTGACGGCCAGGTGTCGCCCTTTTCCTTTCTCACCCTGTCGGATTGGTAAATCAACCCTTTCGACTGGATAAACCATTCCACCCCCAAAACCAACCAAGGGGTGGGTAACCGGATGTATGCTGCTATCATTGTATTTCAGCTTTTGCAGGCACCGGAGGCTGATGATGTCTGATGAGCTGCCGGTGTCAATAAGGATCCGTCCAACCAGCTGGTTGGCAACCTTACATTCAATGAAGACCGGGCTATCATGCGGGCGGCGGACGCTGCCCCTGTCCTTCTCAGTGATCAGGACGTCTGGGAAGGAGGAGCTTGTAGACGCCTGCTCATCATCATCTTTGTCCATCTTTCAAAGATGGCTCTTGGTGCCCCGGATGGTAGGGCCATCGCATGAGAACCCGCCTGCTATTGTGTAGACCGGCTCCTTGTCAGTGTCCGAACTACTAGCAGGCTGAGGTGTCTTAGACGACTGCCCCGGATTCTTCTTATTAGTCCCTTTGGACTTAGAAATGTAGGACTTTAACATCCCCTTGTCAGCCAGACGGTCCAACGCCCGTTGAAGGCTGAAGCAATCGTTGGTGTCATGGCCAACCTCCTCATGGTATTGGCAGAATTTGTTTTTGTTCCTTGATTGAATGAAACTTTTCATTGGATTCGGCTTCTCTAGGGACAGCCGGTCCTTGATTTCCATGAGGATGGAGTTGCAGTCCTTGTTAAACTCGTACTTAGGAATGTACGGTTTAAATTCCTTCTTTTTCTTCTGGGACGGCTGGTCAAGGTCACTAACCGCCCAGATTTCTTTTCTTTCCTTGCTCTCTTCTTTCTTTTTGGTCGGCTGAGCAGGCCGGCTGTCTTTCCGCCTGTCGAACTTCTTGGAGTCCGACTGGTTACCAGGCGAGCAGAGATCGGTTGCTTGAATGTAGCTTTCCGCCTCCCCCAGGGCCGCCTGTAAAGTGAAAGCCCCTTTTCTGACTAGGTCAAACTTAAAAGTCAACCCGTCTCTCAGACCTTTGAAAAAGTCTGTAAAAGCTACCTCATCAGACAGTCCTTGAATCTGAATTCTTATCAAATTGAACCGCCTGACATAGAAGTGCAACCCTTCTCTCTCTCCCTGCTTAATGGTGCTCAAGTCAAGACTTGTTTTCTTAGCAGGGATGTTCATTGAGAAGTTGGAAGCGAACAGGAAGGCAAGCTTCCTGAAACTATCAATGGACCCGGCTGGCAAGTTGCCAAACCACTGTAGGGCAATGCCCTTCAATGTAGTCGGGAAGCATCGACACCAAGTGGCATCATCCAACCCTTGTAAGTACATGAGGTTGGTGTATGCCATGAGGTGATCTTCCGAGTTGGTGGTACCATCATAGGTACCTACCAACACATTTTTAACCTTGGCCAGCTGTGCCGCCTCGGTTATCTCCCGGGTGAATGCAAAAGGTTGTTCACCCAAGCGGAGCAGACGAAGCTGTCAGCCCAGTGGCTGGACATTGTTATATGCCGTGTGACTTCCGAAAAGGTCGGCTGCATGAAGTGAGGAGGATACTGACCGTAGACCTGAGAAGGTACATACGGTACAGTTCCAATCATCTGAGGGCCAGAATGGACGGTATTACCGCCTGTCTGGCTCTCATGCAGGGAAAGTGCATTCCCTGCAGAGGTGTTGTTGAAGCTGTCGGGAAAGTTCGACGTAGAAGCCGACTCCGACAACTGTTGATTTCTCTTCCGGTTGATAATCTCCCGGGCATCAAGAGTTGATTTTTTACTTCCCACCGGTTGTTGGGTCCGGCGGGTATTGTTGGTATTCCTCTTAGGAAGAAGAATTTTGGACCAATCAATGGTCCCGGCTGCCTTCTCCTTTGGAAGAGGAGTGGGCTGCCAATCTCTGACTGACTTCCCCTTTTCCAGAGGAGTCTTCTTGGCCGACTGACCCCTACTTGGGCCAGCCCGGCTCTGAGTGATCAGTTCTTTAATTTCACCCTTGAAACTTGTCATGAACCTCATGAATTCGTCTCGGGTGACAGGTGCTGATCTAGCTGCCGTATGGGTTTCCCCTTCCGGCTGCCCAAGGGGTCGATTTGTATCCGCCTGGGAGGCACCCCGCTTCAGAGTGTCTTTGGGCCGGATGCGCTTGGTTATCAGAGAGCCATCATTGGATGTATAGGTTTCGACCTGAGGATCTTCATCCTCTTGGTCTGTAAAAACTTCCGGGTCATCGCCCAGACGGTTAGGAGGTGGTACAGACTCTTGAACCATCTTTGAGGTACTCTCCCCACAGACGGCGCCAAATGTTTTGGGTGATTTTGTCCCTCGGGAGAGTTACGTCACGAAGTCTGATCCGGCTGAGTTGTACCTGCAAAACAACGGAGGCTCCGGGTGGTTGGAGCTCCGCCTCCGACGATCAAGTTAGTAACTTGAAAGAGAGTAAAGAATGCGGAAATTTAGGTGGGGATCTTCTTGGATTCCAAGCTCAGGTGTTTCTCTGATGTAAGAGAATGTAGGTGTAATAAATGATTGAATGTGTCCCCAAAATGGGGAAATATCTCCCTATTTATAGGATCATTGGAGAATGTGCCCCTATCTAGGTCACTTAACCTAGATTTCAGTGGGCTGCGCCGTTTTACGGCGCTTCTTGGGATTTGGGTCCTGGAAGGCCGCCATTTCAGGGATGTATCCAAGGGGGCCATGTGTCAAGAGGATATTAAGCCACGTGGGCCATCCTGAACTTGGCACGTGGCCTCAACTCATTGGTCCACGTGTCTAGGTATTTTTACCCTAAACAAGATATTTATCCAATCAAGTAAAGCTTTGCTCATATGCATTTACTATGCAAAACTTCCAATTATGAGCTGTTCAAGAAATTAGATTTAAATGATTCATTTTCAAGGTTACTATTTTATTTTTTAATTTAAGAGCAATACAGATTATACTTTAATGATTCTTTTCCCCTCTCTTGGTTTCCCTCAATTTTGTTTCCATTGTTCATACCATATGCCCCTTAAGTTAGATTTCCACAAACTTATCTTTGCAATCCAAAATGTAAACTCACAGCTAGTCTACTAACCTATTTCTTACATCTCTAAAAAAATTATCTCATATATTAAATGAACATTTTAAAAGATTATTCGACACCTTAATTAAAAAATTATCTCAACTATTTCAATTGCTCTTGATGCTGGCCTCCGTCATCTGATTTTGGAAGTGGACTGTCAAAGCCTATACTTTAAGCTCGTGAAGGGTACTAGGTTCGCGTCTGTTGTTGGTACAATTATTGAAGACATTCGCAAGTTTGCTAATCGCTGCTCCTTTTTAGCTTATAGCCATGTTGGTAGGAAAGGCAATATTGTAGCCCATAAGCTTGCTAATCTTAGTAGATCTTTTAGTGAAATGCGGGTTTGGATTGAAGAAGTCCCACCCTACGTTAGTAGTGTTGTTGCCCTCGATGTAACTTGATTCTCTTATTAATATATTTGTTGGGGTTTGGAGTGTCAAAAAATCTCTATCATCATCGATAATTCTTTCAATTATATCATATATATATACAAATTTACACTTGCTTCTTAAAAACTTAAAATTAACATCTGAGACAATCTTTTAACGACGAATGAATGAAACATTTTGGCCATTGGGCTAGTAAATCAAAGGCCCACCTTAAACATCAAACTTCTGAATTCTGATTCTCTCTTTCTCTCTCCTGTTTGGGTCTTCTCTTCTGCTTTCTTCACACTTTGCGCATCTTCTTCTCCGGCGATCCCAAAACCTCCATTAACGGACCTTCTTCTTCTTCTTCTCTGAAACTCCATCTTCAACAACCCTAATTTATTCTCGTACAATTTTTCATTCTCTCTCCTCTTCGATTCATCTTTGAGGAGGATTGAGAATATTGAGGGATGATTACGAGGCATAATCTAGCGGAGCAGCTCAGAGAGTACCAGGTTCGATCCAAACATGATTGGGCTTCTGCTTCTTTCTTCTCTTCCACTTCCAATTTCACTTCTAGGTATCATTCTTTGATTGATTACTCACTTTAATTTCGATTTTAAATTTTTCTATTTTTGTGTTGGGTTTTTATGATCTTATCGCGAATTTCGTTTCTCTTTTAGATCTGTAACGATATTTTGTTTGATTTGTGTTATTTTTGATTTAAAACTTGAGAATTTTAGTTTTGAGTGAAATTGAAAACTTTTAGGGTTTGTTGAGATTGAGGAAATTTGAATATTTGGTCGATAGATTGGGGTATATATTTTTTGGTGATCTGTGGATATGGTTATATTAGACTTTATATTGCTCGAGGAGTGTATTGGATGATTTTTTAATTTGATATTTGGGATGCCCTAAAAACCTAGAATGATACTAATGATTTTGGAACCAAGAAATATGCCTATAGTAATTGACTTGTTGGCTAGAATTTTATATGACAGATGTTAATAATTTTATTAATCAAGTGCAAGAATATGAACATTTTTGTGCTTATATTATTGTGGTGCGTATGGAAATTTGGGATCCTTCTAAGCCAACTACCACCGTATTGCAAAAGTTATATCCGTTCCAAGTGAATTGCCTTCTTGAAAATTTATTTATGAAGAGTGACTCAGTGGTCAAGTGCATATAGCAATCAAAACGAAGGTCTTTGATTTGATTCCCATTAATTGCCTTTTTAAAATGTCAGAAGTAATAGCTAACAACAAATAATATTCGAACGATCCTATTTGATTATGTTCTGGCGTGAAATAACTTGCGACCATAAAGTCCAATTTGCCATGCACAATACACAACTCCATCTGTTCGGTGTATAAGGATAATGACATTAAATATGAAAATAAGTTGTATTTTCCATTGTAGAGAAGCTAGGTTTGTATAATCTTAATCGTGAAGGTTATCAAGTTAGCTTTAATCAGGGAGAATGGCTAGCTATTTTGGGGAACGATACCAATCTGAAAAATGACTAGCATAATTTAGGGAGTGTAACCAATTAGAAGGGGAATCTGTAACAATCACGAATCGTTGAAATATTGAATGTGGATGCCTTACAATTAAGGCAAAATGATTCGAACCAACGGTAAAAATACACCTGCGAACGTGCGTCATGTCCTTGCCTGACTTAGTCCATGTGCGTGCATACCTTTGGTTCCTATAATCAAAGTTTACAAGGACTTGACACATATAAAATGGGTAAAAGTCTTTTGTTTTATTTATGTGGAACACTTAGTTAGGTGTCCGATAGAATTAGCCAAAGCACCACTTTGATGATACAACATTACTAATTCTTAGATATAGAAACACCACTAGGAATAATTGAGAGGAACCTTGGATACAATAACACCACCAATGGGGAGGTGAAATCAATCTAATAACACTCAAAGTGTTTGATTAACCCTAGCTTCACCAAAGGTTCGCCAAACGTGGCTCATAAACTAGAAATGATGGTCTTTGGGATTCTGTTTAGACGTAAGATTTCTTGAAAGTAGAGGCATGTCATCAATAGTCTTATTGCATGAAACAAAGTGAACTATCTTCGAGAATCGATCAACAACAACCACGATGGAATCTTTGTTGCGCTAAACACTAGACAACAAAATCCATACTAACATCTTCCCAAGGAGCATTGGCCATAAGCAATGTTGTATAGAGATCAGTGTTTTGACCACGAGCCTTGGCAACATACGCTCGACATCACTTGACATGTCAGTAAATGTCACAAACCATGTGTTGCCAATAGAATGCTAGGCACTGACATGATGGAAAAAAATAAGTAGATTGATGACGATTATAGTATTAAGATGAGAATTACACTAGATTAAATGATAATTCTACTTTTGAGAGGTGTATTCTCTACAAGTATGAGCTTTTGAGAGACTCACTCTCTCTCAATAACAAACCTCACAATATTCAACGTATCCTTCTTCCTCCTAATGAGGCCTATTTATAGAAAATCTCTCCTAACAAACTTCTAACTTATTCCCCAAATCACTACTAGTAGACTATGACTAATATGGTCTTCTCCCAAATATTAATTCCTTGCATAGGAATTCTTTGTTGCAATGCCTAATGTCTTATCCCGACCAAAATGGCCAGCATGTCATTCATGTAGTACCATCTCGCATAGTGAACATCTTGGCAAATTGATTTCCTTTGAATAAGTAACCTTCTTGTCAATGGAATTGGCGGTGACTGCTCATTGACCCTTGATCAAAGTAGAGCATAAACTCTTTAGCCAAAGGATAATGGCTCTAGGGTTCGTACCAGTTCATAAAATTATGTTTTGTATGTTAAGTACTTGTGCTTTGATTCATTAGTTAAGAAAGCTATTGGTCATCTCAGCTTCGACCTTGCTAGTATCTATCTCAATCTCGTTGCTAGAAACAATATATCCAAGAAATGCCACCTTGGTTGTAAGAAAGTGGCATTTCCTTAAATTGGCATACAACTTTTGTTCATGATGGACTTGAAAAAGTTGTTGCAGATGCTCCATATGCTCTTCTTCTATACGCAAGGATGTCATCATAGTAAACAACTATGAACATGCCAATAGAAGGGCGGAACCCCGAAATACGCGATTCATTAATTGCATAAATGTGCTAGAAAGGATTGGAGAAAATGCATATAAGATCGAGCTACTGGGAATACATCATTTCTGCTAGTGACTTGTCCCCATATTATGAGATTGAAAAAAAGCAAAGGCATCCAAGTGAGGGAGTTTAACAAAGTTTGACTAACTCTAGAAGCCTTTCATGTTGGCATCCATACCTTCATGTTGCAATGTCAAATTTTTAACAATAAAATTTAAACTCTGCAGCTTGCATTAAATTAGATTGTTGTAATAGTATCCAAAATAAGGCTATATATAGTGATGGATATAAATCGTAAAAACTCCAGCTTTTGCTAATGAAATATAATCAAACACTTTGAGTGTTCTTAGGTTGAGTTCACCTCCCTAACCCTTGGTGTTATTGATCCAAGGTTCCTCTCAATTATTCCTAATGGTATTTCTGTTTTTAAATTTAGTAGAGTTGTATTGCCGGTGCCAACCGGTGTGGTGATTTGACTAATTCTATCTGACCCCTAGGATAGATAGGGGTTGGATATAATTAGAAATGTGAGGAATTCAAATTTTGGGGAATCGCTAAATATAGAAATGTGAGGGATTTAAACTTTGGGATGCTGCTCGACTTTGAGTGTTTTTTTATTTCTTTATTTTCCTTTTTTTTTTCCCCAAATTGTCTATCATCCGTAGTGAAGATTTTCCTAAAATGAATTTTGGGCTTGAATTTTATACACGTCCATGGCAGATAGAAATGTTATGGCATAGGTTTTGGAATATCAATCAATAGTTTCCCACGCACTAATAGAGTGTAATTGCATGCTTGATTATCTGGCTGATTGTTTTGTAGGTAACTAATTCTAGATAAGATGATGAGAGTCAAGTCTCTTTGATTTTATTTTTTATAGCACTAACTTATATGAAATATTAACTTAAGTAATACATAGTATTAACTATTATTGCTCTTCTCAAAACAACCCTATCAATTGAATAGCTTACAGTAGTCCCAAGTCCCAACTATTGTTCTACACTTCCTATAGTAGTCAAAGTTCTTATTTGGTTGCATTTAGGAATGAGCTATGGTAATTTGCATTTCATAGCAAAAAACGTCTTTCTTATATTTCATAGCTAAAAACTTTTTTCTTATATTTCATTGTTAATAACTTCTTTCTTATATTTCCTAGGAGTTTGCTAAACTTGTTTTGTTCACATAAGGGAATTCGCATTTCATGTGAATTGTGAATGACCAAAGTGGAGTTAGGTAATTAACTTCCCATGATATGTGGGAATTCAAATTTTCTCGGAAGTTGTAATTTTTCAGTGTTGCAAACTTTATGTTAACTAAGCAATTGCTTCTCAATCCATTTTCCCCTTTGCCTTTCTGTTCCTTTACTAGGCCAAAAAATTGCTTCTCAATCCATTTTCCAGCTGTGAACTCTACGAACTACCTTCCAAAATTTCCCTACCTGCCTCCCCATCCCTCTACCATATGTCTTTTTAACCAAGGGATCATAACAGAAGAAAAGGTGGATATTGGCTAGGGTTTGTTCGTGGGCCCATGTCAGTAGTTTGGTACTGGATGGCTGGCTGCTGGTGCTGAATATGTCAAAAATGCTCTTAGTTATGGATTTTAAATTTTTGCACTTGCTGGGGTTTGTTCATGGGCCCATGGCAGTAGTTTGGTACTGGATAGTTGGCTGCTGGTGCATAATATGTCAAAAAGGCTCTTGGTTATGGATTTTGTAGCAGGGGGTGGAGAGAAGGGAAGAGAGAATTAAGTGGTTAGGGTAGGGAGTGGTGAAGTTTTGTGCTATGGTTGTTTTGGCATGGGGGACAGGGTGTGTGAGCTAGAGAGAAAGCAAAGATGTCATTTTTTTCCTTAAACAATACTAATGGTCTCAGGTAGTTTTGGGAAAGATAAGGCTTATAATTGAATTATTCAAAGTTATGTAATAGTTTGGCTGTTGGAATGATTTTGAGAAGGCCACTAACAGTTGCGATTATTGTTGTCTATCCATTTTCTATTGTCAGTAGCTACCTCTTCTATATTTATCTTGCTAATGATTCGTGAATTTTGGTTCACGACCCCACTTATGGGATTAAGGCTTTGATTGATTGATTGATTTGTGAAATTAACATCTTCAAAGTAGGTTCACGTTTTTATTTTATTTTTTAAAGAATGTCTTCAATATGTTTCCATTTTAAAACATGATAGGAAATAACTATGGTATGCAAGAAGTATATTGCTTATATTCTCTTGATTTTTTCTGTTGGCTATAGTAACTGTAGGCTACAGAACACAAGGAGGGTAGGATTTAATAGAGAGGATAGCAAGTGAGGTTCGTGTTAGAAAATGTAGGAAAAAGTTTGAAACTAATTAGGTTTGTGTAATAAATAAGTAGGAGAAGGGGTTTGTATGGGATATTAATTATGTAACAGTGTAGCCCAAAAAAAAGAAAAAGATAAAAAAGAAGCTGACTATGGAGTAAAAGTGTGCTTGCTTGCTTGAACGCCTTAATCCCATAAGTGGGATCAGCTACATGAACCAACACGAGTACTTCCCAGGTATTACTCTCAATCATTGTGGGTCATGTGATGTGATGTGAAAAGTTTGACAATGGCTGCCACTGGCCTACCGTAACCCTCCTTTATCCAAGTTTGGGACTGGCGGGGGGAACTCAGTGGCGGAGTTGGAGTGAAAGTGTAACTAATAAAAAAAAATTTATTGCAGAAAGTCTAACTCACTCACACACACGCACACAAACAACATAGGGAGAAGTTTATTTTCAGTTTTGTGTGGGATGGGATGTTTGCATTGTGCTCTTTACTGTATGCACATTCTTTGTTATGAAGAGCATCTTGGAATCTTGCCTATGCCAAATTTTTATTTCAATATGCCAAATTTCCTATCATAGTTATTTCCTATCATGTTTTAAAATGCATTATCTCTTTACTTTAGGTCAAAGTCCTCATTGTCATTGATGACTATACTGCCACTTGCTTTGTAGCTTTCATTGCTATTTATCTATTTATTTTGCATTTGTACTTTCTCAACTGTTACTACTCCTCTGCCCAACCGTCCTGCAAATCGTTGTGAAATTTCTGATTGTTTAGACGGCTTTGGTTCTCTTTAGCAGGGTGGATATAGTGATCTTCGTGATTTGGGAGCTCGTCATTCTTGCATTCCTGGTTTTCTCAGGAGTCTCGCTGTATTTCAGACATGTGCAACTTGCGTTTGTTTTGTTATGTGTCACATTGTTGCTACTTCTGTGCATGAAAGTCACAAAGCAAATACGTTTGGCACGTAAGAAGAAACGAAGGATGCTTCTACCATTATCAATGTAACGTCCTTTAGGAATATTCCATCTGTAAAAATGTGAGATTTTACCCAATTTTATTGTTCAATTTTGCTCTTTTTTTTTTATTGGCATCGGAGTTCATTTAAAGCAGCTAAAGTAGATGGTAGTTGTGATTTGTGTCAATCTGATGACCGCCAAGAGATCTCAAGCCTGCTATATGAAGCAATGTGTCACAAAGCAAATACTGTGCTGCGGTCTAGTATTGTCGCATTAAATCTGGACAGTCGGTATTGAGGCATTTACACACACTATGGGTGGCTACTATGGTCCATGAACTTTGCATACAAAGGGCTGTAAGATTGTGGAACTTGTACACATCACTGCACATTACATAAGCCAGGGGCAAGTTATTCTGGTGTGTTAAAATTTACAATGCTCAGTTATATCTGGTTATGCCAAGCTGTATTCTGCTGCCTAATTTGGACATCTTCCTATTGCTCATCTGGCTTGAAAAAAGTGGACTGGCATCCCTTTGATAGCTATACTCCATATGGCTCCAGTCACTAGCAGAATGCTCAGAAGTATCCCAAAACATCCTAGCCCCCAGTTAAGGTACCACATAAAGCCGAACTCTCGGGGTTTCTTGATCTTTATCCACATGAAACAGGGATATGCTAGGGCGAGAGGCAGAGTTAGGCCTCCTAGAAGACCTGCCAAACTTGGCAAGAATGGTACTGTAAATGCTATGAAGACTGTTAAGCATCCGAAGAAGGCCCTGATTCCTGATCTCAACCAACGAGGGCATGATTTCTTCTTGCTGCTTGTGAACCGGAACTCCAAATTGTCGAACACCGGCATTGCATATATTTGGAACGAGCTGAGACAATGAATCACGATGAGCAGGCTTGTGAGACACAGTAGAAACTTGGAAGTGTCGTGCCCATGGTATTCATACATGACTTTTATTAGCCCTTCATTTGTAGGTATAATCTATAGCAATAGAAAACCAAATTAGCAAAAAGGGAAAGTTGACTTCAAGCAGGTTCTTGTATTGGCTGAGTTAAATTTCATCTGGTTACAAAGTGTTATAAACGGAACTGCGGGAACAAAAACAGTAAGAACAAAGTTACCGAAAAATAGACTGAGTCGCGGACTATGTCGCTTTCTTTAGAACATTCACGGCACTGCCCTGGAAAGGTGCAAGCAGTTCGTACTAAACCGGATGTTCCCCAGGATAAAACAGCCTTTCTCTATTGAAATTATACCGGTGGAACTGCACAAAACCACCGGGCAACTAAACACCCAAAAAGAAAAGAAACTGCTCGAGGGTTTTGTTTTTGTGAGGAAAAATAGAGAGGAGAAGAAGATTGCTGTTCGTATTTTTTGTGTATCAAAAACAGGAAATCAACACGCCTTTTATAGGAAAAATTGCAACGTAACTGCTGCTGTTTAATTAGGCACTAATCACGCAATTAAAACGGTCATAAGTTGAACGTTCAAAACGGTTACAGAAGATTAATGCGTGGCAAAACGTTTAGCAAAAAATCAGTGAAAACGTTTGCATGATTAACGCTCCATTAATCAGTTTTGAATAAAAACGGTCAAATGCAATCAGTCAAAAACGTTTAGCAAAAATCAAGGAACTAATCACGCAATTAGCCTTGTCCAAAAAATAAGTTTATTTAATAAACCCGACCCGACCCAACCCAACCCGGCCCGGCCCGGCTCGGCTCGGTTCGGTTCGGCGCGCGTGTGTGTGATAGATGGTTTACCATATAGGTCCTCCCTCTCCACAAAATGTGGGTAGCCCAAGGGCCACACCCCTTTAGCCCACTCTCTATATTATAAAGAGAGTAAAACTCTCATTTCCCACCAATGTGGGACTTTGAGTTTTTCACAAAATTCACACACTACACACTTGTTGTTCCAACAATCCCCCACTTGAATTTTTTTGAAAACATTTTCGAGCAGAATCCATACATATATAGGTTGCGCATAAACAGAAGTGTTTTTCAACTTGAACTTCGACGTAGTGAGTACGATTCAGATTCAACAAGGGTGACTCGAAGTTTTGAACCCTATCTCTGACAACGTACCCCACACAACCTACTCTTGGTGTTGTTCTAGACCCGTGCTATTTCGGCCATGCACGTCTATCCCAGTGTAGTGAATGCTCTAGAAATGCTGCCACACATTTCATAGGAAGCGGCCTAACTTCCACATTCACATAGGTGAATCTATCAAGAGTACTCCTGTAGCTTGGTACTCCACTCCAAATTGGAGTATAGATTTCATTAAGAGTTCCTATTAACTCATCCTTGATCGCTTCAGGAAATTATGTCTTTTGAACATATTCAACTCATAACACACCATAACTTGTTATTACCCTTTGAACCTATTTCTTGGGATCTCCAGTTCATAGGTTGGGTTACCATTATGTGTGGTTCATTTCAATGGCAATAGTCCCATTTTCTTAGAAGAAAAATGGACTTTCTCCCTAGCTAATCCTTTCGTCAAAGGATCAGCCAAGTTATTCTCAGTGCGTACGTGATCCACTCTAACAGCTCCGATAGAGAGATATTCTCTCACAGTGCTGTGCTTACGACGTATTTGTCGTCTCTTACCGTTGTAATAACGGTTCTGAACTTTTGCAATAGCCGCGGTACTATCGCAATGGATCAAGACAGCCGGTAATGGCTTTTCCCATAGGGGAATTTCACCTAGCAGGCCTCTTAACCAACCTGCTTCTTCACTAGCCGTAGCTAGTGCTATCATTTCTGACTCCATGGTGGACTGAGCCAAAATAGTCTGTTTCTTAGACTTCCAAGATACAGCTCCACCGGCTATAGAAAAAATATATCCACTAGTAGCCTTAGAGTCATCTGATAAGGTGTTCCAGTCAGCATCACTATAGCCTTCTAGTACAGCTGGAAACCTTTCATAATGCAACCCTAGGTTCATGGTCCTCTTAAGGTATCTCATGACCCTTTCAATAGCATGCCAATGCTCATTACCAGGACAACTAGTAAACCTGCCTAACAATCCCACGACATAGGCAATGTCGGGTCTAGTACAATCAGTGGCATACCGAAGGCTGCCAATGATGCTCGCATAATCCGATTGCCTTACGGCATCACCAGTGTTCTTAAATAATTTAACACTGGAATCATAAGGTGTACTAGCAGGTTTACAGTCAAAGTAACTATATTTCTTTAGGATCTTCTCAATGTAATGAGATTGATCCAAAGAAACTCCATTTTCTGTCCTAGTAATCTTAATTCCAAGGATTACATTAGCCTCTCCTAGGTCTTTCATATCAAACTCAGCATTCAACAATAGCTTTACATCATTCACAGCATGAACGTTCGAGCCAAAAATTAACAAGTCATCCACATATAGACAAATTATAGTGCATATGTCATTCTCAAATTTTACATATATGCATTTGTCACTACCATTTATCTTAAAACCATGTGAGATGACTAAGTTATCAAATTTTTCATGCCATTGTTTAGGTGCTTGTTTGAGACCATAAAGAGATTTATCTAGCTTACATACCAGGTGCTCTTTTCCTTGAACAACGAATCCTTCCGGTTGATCCATGTAGATTTCTTCTTCCAATTCACCGTTCAAGAATGCAGTCTTCACATCCATTTGATGTACTACAAGATTAAAAACAGAAGCAAGAGATATTAATACTCTAATAGATGTTACTCTAGTTACAGGTGAATAGGTATCAAAGAAATCAACATTCTCCCTTTGTCTGTAGCCTTTAGCTACTAAACGGGCTTTGAACTTATCAATGGTCCCATCAACTTTCAGCTTTCTTTTTAGGACCCATTTGCAACCAATTGACTTGCAACCTGGTGGCAACTCAGTTAGATGCCAAGTTCGATTAGACTCAAGTGAGTCCATTTCGTCGTTCACGGCTTCTTGCCATAAATCTGCATCCACTGAGGTTAGAGCTTCTTGGAGGGTAGAAGGATCCTCCTCTACATTCAGAACTACAAAGTCTGGGCCGAAGTCTTTTGCTACTCTAGCCCGCTTGCTCTTTCTTAGTTCGGGTTCAGCATCCAAGTCTTGTGAGTTAGACCTGTCTTTAGGAATAATAGAGGAGGACGTGCCCCCACTATTTCTAGATTTAAAAGGAAACCTGTCCTCATAAAAATCAACATCATTAGATTCAATAATTACACGAGCATTTAAATCAAAGAATCTATATGCCTTACTGTTAATAGCATATCCAATGAATACGCATTCATAAGCTCTACTAGCTAATTTGACTCTTTTAGGATCAGGAATCCTAACATATGCTAGACAACCCCAAGTTCTGAAATAAGAAATGTTAGGTCGTTTATTACGAAGTATTTCATAGGGAGAAACCTTACTCTTAGTCTTTGGAATACGATTTAAGACATAACAAACAGTTAGTAGAATTTCACCCCACCAATGATCAGCAGCACCAGAATATAAGGAAATAGCAACTACTAATTCTGTAAAGGTCCTATTTTTCCTTTCAGCCTTTCCATTCATTTCTGGGGAATAAGGAGCTGTCCTTTCATGTATGATACCATGTGAATTATAAAATTCTACAAAAGCATCAGTACCATACTCAGTTCCACGATCACTTCGTAATCTTTTTATTTTCTTGTTAAACTGATTCTCAAATTCTGTTACAAACAACTTAAACATTTCAAAAGCATCACTCTTATTTTTCATCAAATAAATACAAGTATAATCAGAACAATCATCAATAAAGGTGATAAAGTATCGTTGTCCATTTCTGGTCAACGTCCCATTTAGTTCACAAATATCCGAATGAATTAAGTCTAATGGTTCTGAATTTCTAATCACTGATTTATGAGGAGTTTTTGTAATCTTAGCCTGACTACAAGAATCACATTTGTCAAAGTCATTGAGAGAGATATTTGGAATAAGGCCTAAATTGCTCATATTTTTTATGAGTCTTTTGTTCACATGACAAAGTCTAGTATGCCAAACATTAATAGTAGAACACAACATATAAGCAGAATTAGAAATTTTATTAACTTCAACATTCAGTTTGAACATGCCATCAGTAGCATATCCTTTTCCTACAAATATTCCATTCTTAGTTAAAGTAAACAAATCAGAACCTATGGTTTGTATAAAACCAGCCTTATTAAGCAAAAAACCAGAAACTAAATTCTTCCTCATTTCCGGAGTGTGTAACACATCTTTCAGAATGAGAGTCCTGCCAGAAGTAAACTTCAACTCAACATTTCCAACACCAGCAATGTTAGTGGAATGGGAATCACCCAACAGTACTTTCTTATCATCGGTCTTTTCAGTGTATGTTTTAAACATTCGACGATCATAACAGACATGGCGTGTGGCACCAGTGTCTATCCACCACCCATCTGATCCACCAGTAAGGTTGATCTCAGTAATCATAGCCACAAAAGGCTCTTCAATCATGCTAGCCTGCGCTGGCACAGGGTTAGGCATGTTCCTGCACTTTCGTGCCATATGGCCTGGTTTTCCACACCGATAGCACAGAAATTGACCAGTACCATTCTTAGGGGGTTGTGACTGTTGTCTTCCATTGTTCTTTTGAACATTCGGTTTATTGAAGTTATTCTTCCGGTTCTGAGGTTTGAAATTCTTACCAGCAGGTTTAAGTACTGCAGCAGATCGCCTAGGAGCATTATTAGCAGAGATTTGTAAAATCTCTTCCTTTAGATCCTGTTTTCTGGATTCTTCTTCTATACGTAGCCGAGTGATCAAACTCTCTAAGGAGAATTCCTTAGTCTTATGCCTGAGATTATTTTTGAAATCTTTCCAGGAAGGAGGCAACTTGTCAATAATAACAGCAATTTGAAATTGTTCATCAAGGGCCATACCTTCGGAAATTATCTCATGGGCAATTTTCTGAAGGTCGTGAGACTGCACTTCCACGGACTTATCATCAGTCATCTGGAATTTTAGGTACCTACTGACAGCATACTTTTTGGCACCTGCTTCTTCAGTATCATACTTTTTTTGTAGGGCATCCCACAAATCCTTAGCAGTATTTTCCATATTATAATAGTCATAGAGGTTATCAGACAGACCATTAAGTATATAGTTTTTGCACACGAAGTCAGTTTCATTCGAGGTTTCGATTTCACTATTCAAGTAAGCTAATTCATCTTCAGGAGCATTATCAGGAATAAATGGCCGAGGGGCTATTAAGGCAGAATTAACTTTTTTGACAGCACAAGAAGTGAAGACCATGTACCATTCAACATTGGTTAATGGGTTAGCCTCCTTGCAATTGGGCCCACAAACTGTTTGGTAGAAAATCTTGATGGTCCCACTTCCAAACATGATCAGAGCCACACACGTGCCACCTGATAAGTACATGATTGGAAACAAGGATAGAAGTTTCCCAAGCTTTTCTCCTACATTATAAAGAAAGTTACTTTGTTTAATTACATCTTTAATAGTGTTCTTTTGACTAATAAAGTATGAAAAGCAATAAAATATAAGAGCACATTTGGAGTATAGTAATACGTTGAAAAATATTTCAAAGATGTTTAATAGAAAAGTCACATGGTCTTTTTAATGCAATTATATTCATATTTTTAGGTTTATCTTGTATGCAAAGGAAACAAACTTTTTTGTAACATGCTTTAATTCTAGTACTCGCAATTACTACAACATATGAAGTATTCTTTATAATTTATTACTTGTACGTCTTCTTTTATAGATAATAAAAGTGATAACAAATATACTTTAAGAAATTTCGTTCTATCAAATGTGTATCTAGTAGAGTGAATCTAAGCTCACCAAAGGCTGCTATAGATAGCCGGAGGTATCTACTGTAGCGTGTGCCGTTCTCTGATTCATGCAATTGGATTAGCAACCACGTCGTATACAACTGCCATATGAAACCTAATGAAAGACATGTAATGCCCCATATCCTGTTAAGTAAACAGACAAAAAATATTACACGGTAAACTTACATTTACATACCTTTTGTTAAATAATAATAATAAAAAAAGAGGTATATCGGATTTGGCTACTAAGCCTACTATATGGCACATTCTTATATGAGATGGTAAGAAATTGTCGTATCATAACATGTAAATATGAAACGAAACCATATTGATCGAAGCTTTACACTTTATGTGCGTAAATAAAGACTGGTTTATGATAGATTGATTAGTTACTTACTATTAATATCCATATAAACTCACACAAAAAAAAAAAAGGGGTTAAAGGAGGTTTCGATCTCCACATATGGATAATATCTTTCTTACTATTTAAGGCACGACATGTTTCTGTACGTACCAATCATTCTAATTCGTTGCTGCCATGTGTCTAAATTAAGATCCCTTTTTTATTTGGGTTTTTTATTTTTTTATTTGGGTTTTTTTTCACAATTATTTTCAAACACTATGCATATAGTTGCTTAATAGTTGAGCTAATGTTTGATATGATAATCAATTTATTATCAATTAATTCTACGCAAATAAAGGAGAAGTGCGTGAATATTCTAAAAGTCGATATTTTGTGTTTTATATTTACATCATAACGTCTAAGAAGTTCTCATAGGCCATGGAATCAAGTGTTGTAAACTATGGTAACATACATATGACAAATTGTACCAAAACAAAGGTCCAAAATTATTTTTGTAAGGAAAATGTTAGGTAGATATTTTATGATAAATTAGATTCCACTAACTTTGTGAAGCCGGACTCATCTAGCAAATTTTTCTTATTGACGAGTATAAACCCATCTTGCCACTGTGCTACCTACCATTTGAACATGAGAACAGAACTATGTACTCGTAGAATTTTTTTATTTTTTTATTTTTTATTTTTTTTTTTTTTAAGAAAGTAGTAATACATGTTTTGAACGCTTTAAAAAAAGAAAAGTATTCTAAACAAACTAATTGAAGATGTATAGATTACTTAAGAAGTGAAAAAAAAAAAAAAAAACAAAATTAAACTTACCATCCAAGGGAAACGAAGGCTAAGGGAAGCATAAGCGCTTGAAAACCGATGCCAGAAGAAATGGTATGACAGGCGGCATAGAAGGCGTTACCATTTCTAGATTCAGTGATAGGAAGCCACTCTTCTTGTGGATCAACAACATTATTTGTAACAACATTATCATGCATGGTTGTTGCAACACCCGTTTTCATGGGGCTGGATATAGGTGTCATTACGTGAATGGTTATGGGGGTGTCATCGGACCATAACCCGACTGATTCGCCGAGCAACGGCGATTGGGAAAAGAACCATCGGAGCTCTTGAGGAGCCGACGTTACTTGATCACTTGAATTCATGGTTAGTTTTAAATAAAAAATAAATAAATTCTCTAGCTAAAACTATAATAACTAATTAAACTTGCATGCATAAATATTTTTTGAGGGTTTTGTTGGTATATATAAGGTTTAATGTGAGGGTCAAAAGTGGAAGCTGACTAAGACTTATTGGTGTAGCTAGACATTTTACAAGTATAGAGTGAGGTTCTTGAGCCTTTCATTTGGTGGACTATTTCTAATTATTATTTTTTAATAAATATGTAATTATGTTTTTTTTTTTTTAAAAAAAAAAAAAAAATCCTATTACTAAATTGTATATAATACTAGTTAAAACCCTATTGAAAGCTATCCAAATCTGTGAAGAAGATTACACTTTAAAAGTTTGTCACTTTACATATTTCATGTATTGATTGAAATATTATTCAATAGTCCAAATCGTACAATCTTATAATACAAGTATACAACCATTTTAAACAGCTCTACGTACATTAGATAATTTAATTAGTTAACTTAGCTAAATAGATTAAGTTGCTTTTACATTCTTGATATGTAGTACGTACACCATATTTATTTTTATCTATACTCCTTTATAGGTGCTTTAATTTAGATTCTAATCATCTTAAAGAATCAAAGTGGAGATTATAAATTTATAGGGTTTTAAGTTTTGATATTTGAGATCTATTCGGCCTAGTTATTATTTGGTCAATTCATTCAACCAACAACAACAATACTAATAATAATAATAATTTTTTTTTAAAAAATAAAATAAATAATCAATAGATTTTACAACTACCGTCCAATTTCATTTCTATAAAAAACATTACTCGATTTCTAAAAATTTGCTAAGTTAAGGTTTTACGGATCATTTTGTATTGACTCTTTAGGAATTAGTTTAAGGCCAAAAAAATTATCGGAACTATCTCGTTTTGCAAGCTAAGAAATATATTTTGTACTGCGAAAACCGATATAATTTATTTTTTGACAATTTTGAGCACAAATTGATGTCTTAAGAACTATGTGACACTCAAAACCTCAACAGAGGTCTTATTTATTTTATTTTTTTTGAGGTGGTTAAATAAATAACAAAACAAAACAAAAGTAGTAGTTAAATTAAAAAGAGTGCTTTTTAGAGGTGGGGAAATACACAATATCAAATAATAATTCTCTGCACGTAAAACGCGTGTTGTACGTATGCGGTTGGCCACACTTTGTGACAATATATAAAAGAACAAAGTAACCCCTATAACACTGGTCGAATAATTCATGTAACACTGACCGAGTAACCTCATAACATTGACGGAATAACCTTTATAACACTAACATATTAACCCTTATAATACTGACCGAGCAATCCTTATAACACTCACGAAATAACCCTATAGTGGCTGGCCACACACATATAATAATTAAAGTGTGAAAATGTTTTTTTGTTTTCTCTATTTTATTTTATTTTATTGAAAAAAGGATTAGAAAAGTTCACAAAAGATGGATCCAATCATGTGGCTTATGTAAGGTAAGGTTATTGTAGCTAGGCCCCTTTATTGATTGTATAGGGAACTTGCATGGATGTTGCTTGCATCTCCCTTTAGATTGCGACGTTATCCGACCACAAATGTCTGTTAGTAAGTGCATGATTTATATTTGTGGTATAGTTTTGGTCACCTCTATATATGCTTTTGTCAATTTGCTTTAAGCCAATTCAAGAATATAATATAAGTTCACATACTATACAATGAACACAGTACAAGTTATCATCAAAATAATACCATGTGTAACAAATGTAATTTGTGTATAATATATATATATATATATATATATATATATATATATATATATATATATATATATATATATATATATATATATATATTTTAAAAAAAAGTGGGTTTCACGAGTCCATTTAATTATTATAATACAAGTAAATTTTTTAATTTGGGTGGAAACTATTTTTGTTTCTCGGGAGAAGGACAATTTATTGTTCAAATGGGTTGGATATTATATCTTCTTTAATTTTTTTCATTTTTTCAGGAAAAATTTACTAATAAGTCTTCTTTAATTTTTTTTTTTTAAAGATAAAAAAATACTAATAATTCTTTTTAGGGGTTTTTCTAAGCTATGCCCTTAAGGTTGTTGAGTTTCTAAGGTGTGCCCATGCTTTTTCAAAATTACAAGTTGTGCCCTCTAACTTAAGTTGTTTAATCAATCGTACCCTCTGACGTAAACTCGATGTTAGACTATCAATCTAAGAGTAGCTATAACAATTTTACGGTTGTTTCGGGGTTTTTTGATGTGTCCTGCGGGAGAGTTACAATTCCAAGAATGCCCTTCGACGCCTGTGCCTGCAAAATCACGAAGACTCCTGGGGGTAGGAGCTCCGCCTCCGACGATCAAGTTAGTAAAGATACGGGAGGTAGAATGCACGTAATGTAGAAGTTACTTCTCGCGTAATGGGAGAATTCTGCAATTAATATTGCTCGGGGTAAGTGTTTTTCTTTTTGAGGAGTATTCAATGTGAACAACAAATGTTCCAGCCCTCTTTTAATGAGGGTCCTTCCACTATTTATAGTGGAGAAGGGATGGTTTCCCTTTTAGGGTTTAGAGGACACGTGTCAGCAGAGGATTGGAGCCCTGCTGACCAACGGCTGGATGCCACGTGTCACTAGGCCATTGGGCCACGTGTTTAGGGTATTTTTACCCCAAACATTTGCCCCTCACTGGTGCTGACGTGGCAGGGTGCCACGTGGCGCCGGTGAAAGGTTTTTTTTTTTTTTTTTTTTTTTTTTTTTTACAACTCTTCAGATTCTTTTTGGAGGATGGAAAAGCAGAAGGCGAAGAGTCACGACTTTTCACCTTCTGGGACAAATTCTATAAATAGGAGAAGATGTCCCCCGAGCTCTCATTTACAAACTTTGCCAAATTACTGGAAATTTGAGAGCAGCCGGCAATTTGAGAGTTGAGAGCATTCGGAGTTGAGATTCGTTGAGAGCAACCGGTCTACAGACCGTCTGGGTCGTTGCAAGCTAGCCAAAGGTTTTCGAGAGGGTAATCAGAGAAACCCAGCCGGATTTTGAACCGCCTGCGTCTTCGCAAGCATCCCAAAGAATTTCCAGATTTTCTTCTAGGTACCGTCTCTATTCTTTCTAGCTTTTTCATGTATTTCCGTTTGAGTCTTTTACTCGCATTTTTGTTCATTGGTCCCATAAGTAGATGGACCCCTTATACCCATACCCGGAACCTAGTTGTGAACTCAGCCGGTTTATTAGTACGGCTGAGTCTAGAACTGGGTCTGCCGCCTCTGTTCTTTGGTACAACCCTTTTTCAACACCCATATCGACCGACTCTGTGTCTGTGCAGGACACAATGGCCAGAATCCGGTCTACTGCCAGAGATCCCAACTACAGAAGTGGGAGCTCAGATGAGCAGCCGCCTGAGGTCCCAGCTTCAGGCGGTGAAGTAGAGCAAGGAGAGGTAGAGCAGAGAGGCTCACCCAGGGGCGCTCCTAGCACCCCGGGTGATAGCATTTTAAACGAAGAGACTGCTCCCCTCCAGGAGACCAGAGAGCAGGTAGGCTCTGATAAGGAGGTCTCCAACTCCCCAGCCGGCTCTGATGCCGGTCACGTTCAAAGTAGCAGTAGCAGCCTTCTTGGGATAATAGGAACGATCCTCTCATGATCGCCGTCTCCTCTAAGGACCGCGAGCTCATGCGGGCTGCGCTGCCAGATTTTATCAAACGGCGGCCGTTGGGGGGTGACTATACAATAAAAATCCCGGCTGCTCTGGGAACAATATGGTGGGAGGATGGACAACCGAACGCGAACGCTTGGTTCGGGTGCTACGAGGCGGCCTTCGTGGCCGGAGTCCGCTTCCCTCTCCACGACACAATAAAAGCCATACTTAGGGGGTATGGCCTAGGTCTCTGGCAATTAACCCCCAACTCATGGGTAAATATTTTAGGGTATATCGCCGCCTGCGAGATGGAGGGCCTCAACCCCGGCTGGGAGGCGTTTGCCCACATGCATTACTTGAGTAGGAGCCCAGGCGGCTGGAGAGCCTGGTATACCTTGACCACCCAGCCCAAGTACCTTATGACCTTGGACAAGCCATCCAAATGGTCGAACTGGAAGCACCGGTTCTACTTGGTTAAGGCCCCAACTACGACAGAGAACAGAGAATTCCGGATCTACAACCGGAAACCAGAACTCTTGGGGACCAAGTGCTGCCTGCCCCCTGTCCCGGAGGATGATAGAGAGACCATCCTTGACTCCGGGTTTTTTGAGTTAGTTCCTGACACCCTCTCATCCGGAGAGATAGTAAGGGTACCTAGAAACTGGGTGCCCAAACATGAATTTTTTAGGGACGAATGCTTCTTGTCCGCTTGTGGTCTAAGCAGCATGTTTAAAAAACGTATGTATTCGGAACTCAGCCGGTTTCTTTTGAACCGGATGCTTTTATTTCCTTGCTTATTTATTATTCTAACCGTGTGCCTTCCTCTGCAGAAGAAGCCAAGAAAATGCTGCCCTCCGAGAAGACACCGGCTAGGTCGGCTGCCGACATCCGGAAAGCCAATCTCGAGAAAAAACTTGCTGCCCAGGCGGCGAGGAAGGTATAACCGTCTGATCCTTCTCGTTTATTTCAATCCTTTTATCCCATAACTTATATTTTTCTCGTTTACAGGACGGGAAGCAGATGCCCCGGTCCCTTCAAAAACAGGTCAGGCCTCCGCCGACCCAACAAGAGTCTGCATCCAAGGTGCAGAAGACAGCCGACCGGCAAACTACCGGCGGCAAATCAATAAAGGTCCCAGGCGGGCCTGGATCTGCGGATGTGCTTTCTGCCATCCCATTGAGGACCGCAACCGGTCCCTCTGAAGGCCGTTTGGGCCGCCAAGGTAACTTCGACCTTACATTGCTTGACCTGCCCATGCGGGTCAAGTCTTATTCAAAGTCTCGATCGCAGCCGGGGGATTCTCCAATCAGCCGGCAATCTATAGGCAGAGCATATGCGAGTTTCTCACCGTCTGTTTCTGGTGCAGATAATTCTCCCCGCTGGCCGGACGGGGCACAATATGCCTGGGCCATGCTGAAAGCCGTCCCCAGGGACGAGAAGGAGGCGATCCCTGGGATCAACTCCTTTAATGCCGACCGGGTGCTGGTCGACCTGGCCGACGTATGCTCCAACAACCATGCGGTAATTTTCTTGATGTGCATTTTTAAATATGCAGTATTAACCGGCTGTATTTTTACAGGCTATGCTGCGCGTAGAGGGGCTCAAACGAGCTTATACCCGCAAGTCTGAAGAGGTAAGGAGAAGCAAACGGGCTGTTGATGACGCCCATAATGTTGCTGACTACTCTTTGTACATGCATGGCTTAGAATCTAAATCTATACGCATGGAACAGGCGGGGAAGACCAAGGCCCTCCAACAGCAGATTGATCAGCTGAAAAACCAAGTTGACCAACTGCACGCGTCCCTGGATGATGCCAATAAAAAGTTGGAGGAACAGAAAGAGCCCCTCCAACGGCTGAGCAAGGCGGAGACTGAAAATGGCCGCCTTGCCAAAGAGAATGAGCGCCTGCGCAAAGAGGCGGCTGCTGCCAATGAGAACTTCAAGGCCACCTTGGAGTCGGAGCAGGAGAGGCTCATTGAAGAGAATGAGCATGACTGTGCAAACCGGATGCAACGGGCGTTTTCCCTCATTCACCCGGAGGCGGACTTCACCGTCTGGGAACTCGCCTTCAAATATTCTGATCTTGCCATTCTGGCCGAGGAGGCGAATGAGCCGGGGCCCGGACCCTATGACGCTTGGGTTAGGGAGGAGATTGTGCGACGGCAGGCGGAGGCTGCTGAAGAGGAAGAAGTTGTTCCTGAAGCCGACGCAGCCGCTCACCCTGATCCAACCCAGAACCAACCGGAAGAGGACCGGTTCACTGTTCGCCTGGAGTAGCAACTACTTCCCGGCCTGCGCGCCTTGCATTATCTTGTAATAGCATCGGATGAGATGGGCTAAGCTGTAATAATTTTTATTTTGAATATTAACATTTTCACCGGCTGAGCCGGCTTTTGAATGCTTTTTATGTTTCTGCACTTCAATACTAGAATTCTTGTTATTTTTTTATACATATTTCTGCGAGGATAACCAAAAGAACCCCGCCGGTAACACTATCGCTTGGGTCTTCGCAAACAACAAAGAAATTTGCAAAGGTTGCCAAGAGGACCCCACCGGTAACACTGCCGTCTGGGTCTTCGCAAACTAGGCGAAGAAATTTGCAAGGGTTGCCAAGAAGACCCCACCGGTAACACTGTCGTCTGGGTCTTCGCAAACTAGGCGAAGAAATTTACTAGGGTTGCCAAGAAGACCCCACCGGTAACACTGCCATCTGGGTCTTCGCAAACTAGGCGAAGAAATTTGCAAGGGTTGCCAAGAAGACCCCACCAGTAACACTGCCGTCTGGGTCTTCGCAAACTAGGCGAAGAAATTTGCAAGGGTTGCCAAGAAGACCCCACCAGTAACACTGCCGTCTGGGTCTTCGCAAACTAGGCGAAGAAATTTACTAGGGTTGCCAAGAAGACCCCACCGGGAACACTGCCGTCTGGGTCTTCGCAAACTAGGCGAAAAATTTACTAGGGTTGCCAAGAAGACCCCACCGGGAACACTGCCGTCTGGGTCTTCGCAAACTAGGCGAAGAAATTTCGACCCAAAACCAAACCGGATGGCGTCTAGGTAATTGCCCCTGGATAGCGGTCTGGGTCTTTGCAAGCCAGGCGACTATCCATATGATATAGCTCGAATATACACTGCTAACATTAGATTCGGGAGCCAGTCGGTTTATACTGAATTACCGGTCGGGACTTCGCAAAAGAATCACGCCAGATTAGGATGTCCATTCACCGGTTGGGCTTTTGCAAGCATACCCCTGAATGAATTATGGCCTAGACCAAATGTTTTTAGGCCTGCTCTTAGAGAGTCAGGCGGCGGTATTGAGTACCGGCTGTCCTTCCAAAAAGTGAGCCGGCTGCAAGTTTGGGGTTGCTAGCCTGCCCCTTTTTTTTTTGGTGCGAAGGATCGTCAGGCGGATTTGTCCGCCTGTGTGATCGCTTAGAACAATTTACCACCCAAATGGGAGATGTTCTCTTCGATGAATTCACCCGTATGGGTGTCACCGGATGAAGCTGTCCTTCCAAAAAGTGAGCCGGCTGCAAGTTTGGGGTTGCTAGCCTGCCCTTTTTTGGTGCGAAGGATCGTCAGGCGGATTTGTCCGCCTGTGTGATCGCTTAGAACAATTTACCACCCAAATGGGAGATGTTCTCTTCGATGAATTCACCCGTATGGGTGTCACCGGATCTGGTGCCGCTTGTGGTAGGCACAAGACATGGCGGCTGTATACAAAATTGAATGTAATTCTCATTAATCATTTGAAAATTTTCAAAAGATGTGCAATACTTAGAAGTAGTATTTTTTGAGGTTATCTACATTCCAAGTTCTAGGCAACTTTCTTCCGTCTGGAGTTTCCAGGCGGTAAGTGCCGTCTCGTACTTCTTCAAAGATCCGGTAGGGTCCCTCCCAATTTGGGGTTAATTTTCCTTGTTCATTGGCCCTACCGGTTGCCTCCATTTTGCGAAGCACAAAATCTCCTTCTTTCAAAGGTCTTTTACGAACCCGCTTATTGTAGGCTCTAGTCATACGCAGACGGTAGATCTCATGACGCAAGGCAGCATTCCCCCTTCGCTCTGGAAGAGCGTCTAATGCCAACCGCATGGCTTCCCAGTTAGCCTCCTCATCATATAACATAATGCGTAGAGTAGGCTCATAATGTTCAATGGGAAGAACTGCTTCAGTGCCGTATGTCATGAGAAATGGGGTCTCACCGGTTGCCCCCTTTTCGGTTGTCCGGATAGCCCAAAGGACATGAGGTAATTCCTTTGCCCATAGTCCACCGACTCTTTCTACTTTCTTCTTTATCCCGTCTGAGATCAACTTGTTAAAAGCCTCAACTTGACCGTTTGCCTGAGGACGGCCAACGGATGCAAAACAATGGGAAATTCCTTGGTCTCGGTCTCCCAACCAGGTCTTCAGGACAGGCGTTTCGAACTGCGGTCCGTTGTCGAAAACCATGGACATTGGAACCCCGAACCGGGTGATGACGTTTCTCCAGATGAAAGAAATCACGTCTTTCGTTTTAATCCCTTTTACTGCCTCTGCCTCAACCCATTTGGTGAAGTAGTCTACTGCTACAAGAATGTAGCGGCGGCCGCCTGATGCAGGCGTATAAGGTCCCAAAATGTCCATGCCCCATTTAGCAAACGGAACCGGACTATGGATTGCCGTGAGTTCTGTTGCCGGTTGATGTATCAACTTAGCGAATTTTTGGCACTTGTCGCATCTCTTTACTAGATCCATGGCATCCGCTTCAAGAGTGGGCCAGAAGTACCCTTGCCGTCTGGTTCTTCTGGCCAGGGACCTGCCGCCAATATGCGAGGCACAAAACCCCGCGTGCAGATCTTCCAAAACTTCTCTCCCCCTATCCGGGGTTACACATTTCAAAAACGGCTGCAGGTATCCCTTCCGGAGGAGTTCCCCTTGATGCATAACAAAACTTGAAGCACGCTTCTTGAGCGCTGATGCTTCTGAAGGGTCATCCGGCAAGGTACCATCCGTCAAAAAGGACCGGATGGGATCCATCCAGGTAGCAGTTCTGTCCAAGACTCCAATGGGATCATTCTGAATACTTCGTTTTTCAATGACTTCCCAAAAGACCGTCCTAGGAGCATCACCGGAGGCTGATGATGCCAACTTTGAGAGGGCATCCGCCTGATTGTTTTCAGACCGGGGCACCTGTCGCAGATGAAATTCATCGAAGGACCCAGCCTCCTCTTTGACCGCCTGCAAATATTTGATCATAGCCGGATGGGTGGCTTCGTAGTCACCAAGGTATTGGCTAACGATCAGCTGTGAATCTGAGCAGGCGTCGACCTTTCTTGCACCGGCTGCCTTACACATGCGCAATCCGGCTAGCAGGGCTTCATACTCTGCCTCATTGTTGGAGGCTTGGAACTTAAACCGTAGTGCATATTCAAACTTATCCCCTTCCGGGGAATGACAGATAACACCTGCACCACAGCCGTTCACCGTAGAGCTGCCGTCTACAAATAACTTCCAGACCTGATCAGGGTTTTCCGGGTGCACCGGCCTAGTCATCTCGACAATAAAGTCGGCAAACGTCTGACCTTTCACTACCCGCCTGGGTTCAAAAATTATCTCAAGGCCTTGTATTTCAACAGCCCACTTGATCATTCTACCGGATGACTCTATAGCAGTCATCGTACGCTTGAGCGGCTGATCTGTGTATACCACAACCGGATGTGCCAAAAAATAAGGCTTCAACCGCTTGACTGCTACGAATAAGGCCAACCCAAATTTTTCGATCATGGGGTACCGGAGCTCAGCATTTTTAAAGACATGGCTGATGAAGTACACCGGCAGCTGAATGCTGTCTCTCTCAGCGAGGAGAACGACACTAAGGGCGTGATCAGAGACGGCTAGGTACATGTACAGAACCTCCCGGGGTAGGGGGCTCACTAGCCTTGGCAGAGAATGCAAGTGCTGCTTAAGCCTCTGGAATGCCGCCTCTGCTTCTTCACCCCATTCAAACCTTGACCTCTTCCTGATTGCCTGGAAGAAATAGAGGCACTTGTCACCTGACCGGCTGAGGAACCTCCCCAATGCCGCCAGACAACCGATCAACTTCTGGACCTCTTTTACAGTGCGGGGAGACTTCATGTCAATTACCGCCTGTATTTTTTCCGGATTAGCTTCGATGCCTCTTTGGTCAATCAAGAATCCGAGAAACTTCCCTGACTCAACACCAAATACGCATTTCTTTGGGTTAAGCATGACCCGGTGCCGCCTGAGTGTGGTGAAGGTTTCTCGCAGGTCTGCTAGGTGATCCGTCTGTAGCTTGGATTTGACTATCATGTCATCGATATACGCCTCTACATTCCTGCCAATCTGGTTGATAAAAACGGTGTTTATCATGCGCTGGAATGTAGCCAGTGCATTCTTCAACCCAAACGGCATCACCGTATAGCAGAATAACCCCTGATCAGTGACAAAAGCCGTCTTCTCCTGATCTTTCTTCCAGAGAGGTATTTGATGGAAGCCGGAATAAGCATCCATAAAGCTCATTAACGCATGGCCGGCTGTTGAGTCGACTAGGCTGTCAATCTTTGGAAGCGGGTAGCTATCTTTTGGGCATGCTTTGTTCAGATCTGTGTAATCCACACACATCCGCCAAGTACCGTTCGGCTTCTTTACTAGAACGACATTTGCCACCCAATCCGGGTAGTAGCATTGCCTAATGAACCCAGCATCCAACAGCTTTTTGACCTCAGCCGCTGCCGCTTGAGATCTTTCTCCACCATGATCCCTCTTTTTCTGCCTAACCGGCTTCTTTTTGGGATCTACGGCTAGCTTGTGGACAGCAAGATCCGGGCTGACGCCTGGCATCTCTTCCACTTCAAAGGCAAAGATGTCTTTGAATGCCTTCAGCAGCTGGAACAAGCCTTCTCCCAACCGTTCGAAGGCTATCGTCCCGACCTTGACTGTTCTTTCAGGACGGCTGTCATCTAGGATGACATCAAGGCAGTCACCAGCCGGCTGAGGTCGTTGGTCATCTGACCTTTCCCCGGCTAGTGATTGCTATTTCTCCTTTTTGACGGGTGCCAGTTGGTCCGCCTTTCTTTTCATACCGGCTGCCCTTGGAGCCGGGACTGCTGGGTCGCAGTTATCAATATCTATGGGCTCGCCCTGGCCGGCTGCACCCATAGTTGTCTTGACGTCAGAGAGATAGCACTCTCTTGCCGTCTTCTGGTCCCCGCTTAGGGCACCGACTGTACCATCATCCTTTTGAAATTTGACCAACATGAGGGACGGGATGATGAAAGCCT